AAAAAAAAAAATTTAAGATTATATTTATTTATTTGAGAGAGAGAGCACATGAAAGGGGAGAAGGTCAGAGGGAGAAGCAGACTCCCCATGGAGCTGGGAGCCCAATGCGGGACTCCATCCTGGGACTCCGGGATCATGACCTGAGCTGAAGGCAGTCACCTAACCAATTGAGCCACCCAAGCACCCTGTGGCTGTTTTTTTAAATAAAGATTTTATTTATTTATTTGACAGAGAGAGATCACTGGGCAGAGAGGCAGCAGAGAAAGAGGGGAAGCAGGCTCCCTGCTGAGCAGAGAGCCCGATGCAGGGTTCGATCCCAGGACCCTGAGACTATGACCTGAGCTGAAGGCAGAGGCTTAACCCACTGAGCCACCCAGGTGCCCCAAAACAGTGGCTTTGAATGACACACTGCACCAGACGGATTTAACAAATATATTCAGAAAATTCATCCTAAAGCAGCAGAATACACTTTCTTTTCAACTACACATGGGACATTCTCCAGAAGAGATCACATATTAGGCCACAAAACAAATCTTAACAAATTAAAAAAGGCTGAAGTAATACTGTGTGTCTTTCCTGACCACATTGCTTTGAAATCAGAAATCAACCACAAAAAAATCTGGAAGGAGCAAAATATATGGAGATTAAATAACATTAAATAACAATAAATGGTCAACCAGGAAATTGAAGAAGAAATCATAAAGTATGTGAAAATGGACAAAACTGAAAACACAATGGTCCAAAACCTTTGGGATGCAGCAAGTGATTCTAAGGGGGAAGTTTATAGCAATACATACAGGCCTACCTCAAGAAGCAAGAAAAATCTCAAACAACCTAATCTTAACCTAAAGGAACTAGAAAAAGAATAATGAACAAAGACTAACACCAGTAGATGGAAGGAAATAATAAAGATTATAGCAGAAATAAATGATATAGAAACTAAAAAAACAAAACAGACCCGCAAAAACAACATCAACAAAGAACAGTTCAATGAAACCAGGAACTGGTTCTTTGAAAAGGTCAACAAAATTGATAAACCTCTAGCCAGACTAAAAAAAAAACAAAAAAAAACAAAACAAACAAACAAACAAAATAAACCTCAAAATGGCCAATTAAATAGGAGAAATAAAGCCAACACCACAGAAATACAAACAATTGTAAGAGAATATTATAAAAAACTATATGCCAACAAATTAAATAACCTAGAAGAAATGGCTAAATTCCTAGAAACATACAACCTCCCAAAACTGAAGCAGGATGACATAGAAAATGTGAACAGACTAATTACCAGTAAGGAGATTGAATCAGTAATTCAAAAAACTCCCAACAAATCGAAGTCCAGGACTAGATGTATTCACAGGCAAATTCTTCAAAGAATTTAAACATACATTTATTTATTTATTTATTTATTTATTTATTTGATTTATTTGGCAGACAAAGATCACAAGTTGGCAGAGAGGCAGGCAGAGAGGCAGGCAGAGGCAAGAGGAAGCAGGCTCCCTGCTGAGCAGAGAGCCTGATGCGGGGCTCAATCCCAGGACCCTGGGATCATGACCTGAGCCGAAGGCAGAGGCTTTAACCCACTGAGCCACCCAGGTGCCCGAATTTAAACATTTAAAGAAAAGATAATACCTATTCTTCTCAACCCTACTCCAAAAATAGGTAAAGGAAAACTTGCAAATTCATTCTATGAGGCAAGTATCACCCTGATACCAAAACCAGATAAAGACACCATAAAAAAGGAGAACTACAGGCCAATATCTTTGATGAATATACATGCAAAAATTCTCAACAAAATACTAGCAAACAGAATCCAAGACTATGTAAAAAAAAAAAAAATCATTCACCACAATCAAGTGGGATTTATTCCCAGGATGCAAGCGTGGTCAATATTTGCAAATCAATCAATGTAATACATCACATCAATAAGAGAAAGGATAAAAACCATATCGTCTCCTCAGTACATGCAGAAAAAGCATTTGACAAAGTACAACACCCATTCATGATAAAAGCCCTCAACAAAGTAGGGCTACAGGGAATATATCTCAACATAATAAAGGCCATATATAAAAAACTCACAACTAATATCATACTCAATGGTGAAAAACTGAGAGCTTTTCCGCTAAGGTCAGGAACAAGACAAGGATGTCCACTCTCACCACTTTTACTCAAAATAGTACTGGAAGTCCTAGATTAGCAACCAGACAAGAAAAAGAAATGAAGCATCCATATTGGAAAGGAAGAAATTAGATTGTCACTATTTGCAGGTGACATGATACTATATATTAAAAAAAACTAAAATACTGCTAACAAGAAGGGTGCCTGGGTGGCTCAGTTGGTTGAGCGTCTACCTTCAGCTCAGGTCATGATCCCAGGGTCCTGGGAATTGAGTCCTGCATCAGGCTCCCTGCTTAGTGGGGAGCCTGAGTCTCCCTCTCCCTCCGCCTGCTGCTACCCCTGCTTGTGCTCTGTCAAATAAGTAAAATCTTAAAAAAGGAAAGAAAAGAAAACCTTAAAGACTCCACCAAAAAACTGCTAGAACTGATAATTTATCAGAACTCAGTAAGGTTGCAGTATATAAAATCAATGTGTAGAAATCTGTTGCATTTCTGTACACCAATAATGAAGCAGGAGAAAGAGAAATTAAGAAAATGATTCCATTTACAATAAAAGGTACCTAGAAATAAATCTAACCAAAGAGGCAAAAGACCTGTACTCTGAAAACTATAAAACACTGATGAAAGAAATTGAAGATGACACAAAGAAATAGAAAGATATTCCTTATTCATGGGTTGGAAAAAACAAATATTGTTAAAATGTTTGTATTACCCAAAGCAATCCACACATTTAATGTGATTCCTACCAAAATACTGAGAACATTTTTCATAGAACTAGAAGGAAAAATCCTAAAATTTATATGGAACCACAAAAAAATCCTGACCAGACAAAGCAATCATGGAAAAAACAAAACAAAACAAAACAAAAAAGCAAAGCTGGAGGTATCCAATTCTAGATTTCAAGTTATACTACCAAGGTGTAATAATCAAGAGTATGGTACTGGCACAAAATACACATAGCTCAATGGAACAGTATAGAAAGCTGAGAAACAAACCCACAATTATATAGACAATTCACCTTTGACAAAAGAGACAAGAATATGTAATGGGAAGAAGATAGTCTCTTCAAATGGTATTAGGAATACTGGACAGCTATGGACAATAGAATGATCCTGGATTACTTACACAAAAATAAACTCAATGAATTAAAGACCTAAATGTGAGACCTGAAACCATTAACATTTTAGAAGAGAGCACAGGCAGTAATTTCTCTGACATCAGCTGTAGCAACATTTTTCTAGATACAGAGCAAAGGAAATAAAAAATAAGCTATTGGGATTACATCAAAATAAAGAGCTTGTGTACAGTGAAGGAAACAATCAACAGAACTAAAAGGCAACCTACTGATTGGGAGAACATATTTTCAAGTGACATATCCAATAAAGGGTTTGAATAAAAAGTATATAAAGAACAGATACTACGCAATTCCCCAAAACCAAATAATCCAACTACCAAATAGGCAGAAGACATGAAAAGACATTTCTCCAAAGAAGACATACAGATAGCCAACAGACACATGAAAAGATGCTCAACATCACCCATCATCAGGTAAATACAAATCAAGAAGCTATCACCTCACACCTGTCAGAATGGCTAAAATAAAAAACACAGGAAATAATAAGTGTTGGTGAGGATGTGGAGAAAAAGGAACCCTCCTGCACTATTGGTGGGAATGCAAACTAGAGTAGCCATTGTGGAAAATAGTATGGGGGTTCCTCAAAAAATTAAAATAGAGCTACCTAATTAAAAAATTAAAAATAGAGCTATCCTAGGATCCAGGAATTGCACAACTGGGTATTTGCCCTGAAAACACAAAAACACTAATTCAAAGGGTACATGCACCCCTATGTTTATAGCAGCATTACTTTTAATAGTCAAACTATGAAAGCAGCCCAACTGTCCATCAGCTGATGAAGGATAAAAAAAGATGTGAGATATATACATACATTATATATGTATGTGTGTGTGTATGTATATATGTATATACATATATAAGAATATTATTCAGCCATAAAAAATTAAAATTTGCCATTTGCAACAATGGATGGAGCTAGAGAGTATAATGCTAAGTGAAGTCAGTCAGAGAGAGACAAATACCACATGATTTCACTCATAAGCGAAAATTAAGAAACAACAAAAAAAACAAGCAAAGGAAAAAGAGAGAGAGAGAGAGATGAACCAAGAAACAGACTCATAGCTATAGAGAAAAAAATGATGGTTACCTGCGAGGAGGTGGGAGGCGGGTAAAATAGGTAAAATAGACTATGGGGATTAAGGAGTGCACTTGTCACGATGAGTAGCAGGTGATGTATGCAATGGTTGAATCACTGTATTGTACACCCTAAACTAATAGGTATTTTATTCTTTTCCACAATTGTAAAATGGGACTGTTTTCTTATCTCTCTTTCTGCTACTTCATTATTAGTCTATATAAATGTTACCATTTTCTGGGTATTAATTTTGTATCCTGCAAATTTACTCAGTTCATTTAGTACTTCTAATAGATTTTTTGGTGGAGTCTTTAAGGTTTTCTATAAATAGTTTCATGTCATCTGCAAATAATGACAGTCTAATTTCTTCCTTACCAATATAGGTGCCTCATTTCTTTTTCTTGTCTGATTGCTGTGGCTAAGACTTCCAGTACTATGTTGAATACAAGTGGTGAGAGTGGACATTTTTGTCTTATTCCTGATCTTAGAGGAAAAGCCCTCAGTTTTTCACTTTTGAATATAATGTTGACTGTGGGTTTTCATATATGGCTTTTATTATATTGAGGTTTGTTCCCGCTAAACCCACTTTGTTGAGAGTTTTTAATGAACACGTATGTTCAATTAAGTCAACAAATTGAGAATTTATTAATATATCCCCTTTTTATTCTTATAGGCCATTAACATGCAGCTGGCTGATATAATGCTTAATGTACAGCGGATAATAAATCGCTACACTCTTGATGAGAATGTGCACTCTCGAAGAAAAATATCCATTACAGAATATAAGAAACGGAGAGTAAATTTCATGGAAAAAATAGTTACTTGTGCTAAGAATGTTGAAATTAGAGAAAAGACTCTTGTGTACATACTGGCCTGGTTGGAAGAATGGAGTAAGTTTCCAGGTGGCTCAAAGGAAAACCATGAAGTTAATGAAAAACTAGAGAAAAGGATCTATAAATTATAAAGGGTTAATCAGACTAAAGAAGACTAAGGAGGTTATTGAGAAAACAGTTATCCACTGCTTCAGCAAGCATAAAATAAGAAAAATATAGTCCTGCTCACTTAATGCCAGCTATTCTGGACTCCTTGCTTTTCTTCAAGCATGCCAGCATGCCCCTGCCCAGTGTCTTTATGCTTACTATTCCTTTGCCTGGAACACTGTCCACAAATAGGCATGTGGCTCATCCTCTGTTTATATCTCACTTTAAAATGATATGTTCTCTGACCATCTCCATTCCCTACTCCTTGACACTGTCCATTATTCTTTACTCTTTATTTTTGTCTATCGCATTTCTTACCATCTGACATACTATATAACTAATTTTTGTCTATCTCTTTCCACTAGAATGCAAGCAGTATGAAGTCAGGAAATTTAATATAGTGCTGTACCCTCAGCATCTAGAATAATACATGACAAAAGAGACATTGGTTGAATGAAAGAATGAATAACCTTAGAATATAAAAAAGGGAATGTCATTTAGTTGCAAGAAATATCATGTAATGAGGGTTTTAAAATACTAAATAACTTATGAAAGGAGTTAATTGGGTTTAGTTCCTCAATATTAAAGCACATGTTCACATTTCTAGATACCAGAGTATTATCATGTCCAAGATTTACTGTTCAGGTTTCTATTCCAAGTCTCTTTTTCATTTCTTCATAGAGAAAAACTTCAGAATAGCAATAAGTATGAGATACCTACATTCCCTAATACTATAATATGGAATAGTTAGACAATATTATAAACTTGTATAGTTATAATTATTTTTCTGCACAAAAGCTTTTTTTTTTTTTCTTTTTACTCTCTTCAAGATGCAATTTTGTCTGAGATGACTGCAATTGATATTGAGGAACACCACCACTGGATAGCACAAATGGAGCTTTTACCAGAAATGTTCAAAGCTATTGAGAACAATGTCAAGTTACTGTGTAGAATTAGTGTATTTTTGTTTGAAGAAAAGAAGAGACAAAGGAAAAAAACAAGTAAGGGTGCTTGAAGACATTGGAAACAGATTTGACTTTTTCTAAAAAATGGGTTTATTAAGGTACAACTTACATACCATAAAACTCACATATGTTAAGTGTACAATTCAATGACTTTTAGAAAATTTAGAGTTGTATAACTCTCACTACAATTCAATTTTAGAACATTTCCTTCATCCCATAAATATCCCTCACGCCAACTTGCAGTCAATCCTCATTCCCACTTCAGTCCCAGACATGCACCAATCTATTTAGTCTCAATAGGCTTGCCTTTTTTTGGATGTTTCATAAGATGGGATCATATTATATGCGTGTGTTTTTTTTTAAAGATTTTGTTTATTTATTTGTCAGAGAGAGAGAGGGAGAGAGAGCGAGCACAGGCAGACAGAATGGCAGGCAGAGGCAGAGGGAGAAGCAGGCTCCCTGACGAGCAAGGAGCCCGATGTGGGACTCAATCCCAGGACACTGGGATCATGAGCTGAGCCGAAGGCAGCTGCTTAACCCACTGAGCCATCCAGGCGTCCCATATTATATGTGTTTTTAAAAAATATCTGGTTTCAGTGCACCTGGGTGGCTCAGTGGGTTAAGCCTCTGCCTTCGGCTCAAGTCATGATCTCAAGGTCCTGGGATCGAGCCCCGCACTGGGCTCTCTGCTTAGCAGGGAGCCTGTTTCCCATCTCTCTCTGCCTGCCTCTCTGCCTGCTTGTGATCTCTCTCTCTCTCTCTGTCAAATAAATAAATAAAATATAAAAAAATAAAATATCTGGTTTCTTTTACTTAACATAATGGTTTTGAAATTCAGCCACGTTAAAGGATACCTTTGTGGTTTCCTTTTCTTTCTATTACCAATTGTATCTCACTATTTGCATATACCACATTTTGCTTACCTACTCACCAGTTCATGGACACTGGAATGTTTCCACATTTGACTTTTATGAATGCCGCTATGAAAACACTTGTATAAGTCTTTGTGTGGATGTATGTTTTCATTTCTTTTGGGTCGATACCCAGGAGTAGAATTTCTGGGTCATTTATCAATTGCTGGTAAGCTTATGCTTAACGTTTTAAGAAATTGTTAACTTATTGCCCAAGTGGCAACGCCATTTTACATTCCCATCAGCAATGTATTAAAGTTCTGGTTTCTCCACATCTTCAGTAACACTTGTGATGGTCTTTTTAGTATAACCTTTCTAAGAGGTGTGAAGTGGTATCCCATTGTGGTTTTAAATTGCATTTCCCTAAAGACTAATGATGTTGAGCATCTTTTCAGGTGCTTATTAGCCATTCTTACATTTATTTTTGATGAAATGTTTATTCAAATATTTACCTGTTTTTTGTTGAATTTTAAGAGTCCTTTATATATTCTGGATACAAGTCCTTTATCAGACATGTGACTTTTCAGTGTGCCTGGGTGGCTCAGTTTGTTAAGCATATGCCTTTGGCTTGGGTCATGATCCTAGGATCCTGGGAATGAGCATTGTATTGGGCTCCCTGCTCAGTGGGGAGTCTGCTTCTCCCTCTCCCTCTGCTCCTCCCACTGCGTGTGTTCTCACTCTCTTGCTCTCTCAAATAAATAGATAAAATCTTTTCAAAAATGTGATTTTCAAATATTTTCTCTCAATTTGTGGTTTGTCTTTTCACTTTCTTAATGGGGTCTTTGAAGCCCAATGGTGTTTGATTTTGATGAAGTCAAATCAATTTATCAATGTTTTCTTTTATGGATCATGGTTTTAGTGTTGTATTAAAAATTTTTATCAGTCAGTGTTCAACCAGAGAAGCAGAACCACTAGGAAATTATATATTATCTATCTACCCATTACAAGGTATTTTGGGGAATGTACTTTGCATTTTTTCAATCCTTTTAAATTTATCATTACTCACTTTATAGCATACCATATAGTCCATCCTGGCGAATGTTCTGTGTGTGCTTGAAAAGAATATATGTTTAGCTGTTGCTGGGTGGAGTTTCTATAGTTGATTTATATTGTTGTTTTAGTCTTCAAATATATCCTTGCTGATTTTCTGTCTAGCTGTTCTATTATAGAGAGTGGGATATTGAACTTTCCAACTATTATTATTGAGTTGTCTATTTCTCCCTTAATTCTGTCAGTTTTTGCTTCCTGTATTTTAAGGCTCTGTTATTGGGTGTATATTATCTTTATAATTGTGATAGCTTCTTGATGAACTGAGCTTATTATTATTATTATTATAAAATGTCCCTCATTGTCTCTAGAAACATTTGTTGTCTTAAGTCTATTGTGTTTGATATAAGTATATTCTCTCCAGCTCCCCTGTGGTTACTGTTCATAAGGTTGACTCAAAGATATGTTGCTTATGTGTTGTTTATAGTTGGATCCTGTCAGCTTCGAAATATATATATACACACACACAAATACATATATATATTTTAGTAAATTTAGTAAATTGAGTTTATAGCAAATTTAACAAAAAGTTAAGCATATATTATATATATTATAAATATATAGTAAATAAATAAATACACACACATACACACACATACACACACATAAAATTTGGCAATCTTTCACTTATGATTGGAATGTTTGATTCATTCAAATTTAATGTAATTATTGATATGGTTGGATTTATACCCACCACGTTCCTGTTTGTTCTTCATGTCTCATCTCTTCTGTTCCCCTGTTCTTCTTTTACTACCTTCTGTGTTAAACAAATATTTTTTATTGTTCCATCTTATTTATTTTTTTAAAGATTTTATTTATTTATTTGACAGACAGAGATCATAAGTAGGCAGAGAGGCAGGCAGAGGGTGAGAGAGAGGAGGAAGCAGGCTCCCTGCTAAGTAGAGAGCCTGATGTGGGGCTCGATCCCAGGACCCTGGGATCATGACCTGAGCGGAAGGCAGAGGCTTTAACCCACTGTGCCACCCAGGCACCCCTATTGTACCATTTTAATTCCATTTTCCTCCTATATTGTTGGAGTAATTTCCTTGTAGTTGCTCTAAGGGATTGCCGTATACATCATAAATTATCACAATTATCACTAAGATTAGTACTAACTTAATTCCAGCAAAATATAGAATCTTTGCTCCAATAGCTCCATTCTCTTCCCCTCCTTTGTGCTTTGTCATATATATTACATATATGTATCATAAGCCCAACAATATATGTACCATAAGCCCAACAATATAGTTTCATAATCATTGGTTTTTAAAAAAACATTTTTAAGAAGATTTTATTTATTTATTTGACAGAAATCACAAGTAGGCAGAGAGGCAGGCAGAGAGAGAGGGGGAAGCAGGCTTTTTGATGGCTGAGTACTATTCCATTGTATACATATATACCACAACTTCGTTATCCACTCATCAGTTGACAGAGATTTGGGCTCTTTCCATAATTTGGCTATTGTCAATAATGCTGCAATAAACATCATGGTGCATGTGCCCCTTCAAATCACTATTTTTGTATCCTTTGGGTAAGTGCCTAGTAGTAGAGTTGCTGGATAGTAGGGTAGTTCTATTTTTAAGTTTTTGAGGAACTTCTATACTGTTTTCCAGAGTGGCTTCACCAGTTTGCAATTCTCTAATGACAGACAACACTGAGCATCTTTTCATATCCTTAGTTGTCATCTGTATGTCTTATTTCTTATCTTCATTTAAAAAGTTAATTTTACATGCATGGTACTTTGAAAAAAAATTATTTCAGGGAATGGATGTAATAGACATTCCATAACACATTTAGAGAAGTGTTGAAAACACATGCATTAACTATGGATATATAAGTGTTCACTTGCAAGTAACTTTGACAGGAATGTGTTATTTCCATGAATAATGTAGTATATTTAGAGAACTGTTTAAAAACATATGTAATGGGGTGCCTGGGTGGCTCAGTAGGTTAAAGCCTCTGCCTTCAGCTCAGGTCATGATCCAAGGGTCCTGGGATCGAGCCCTGCATCGGGCTCTCTGCTCAGCAGGGAGCCTGCTCCCCCACCACCTGCCCCTCTGCCTACTTGTGATCTCTCTCTGTCAAATAAATAAATAAATAAAATCTTTAAAAAAAAAAGGATGGTTATAAGAGCTGTATATGCATACTACTTTGAGAAGGGTGTTATTTCAGGGAATGGATGTAATAGAAATCTGTAATGCATTTTGGGAAGTGTTAAAAGACATATGCAATGAGGATGTTATGAGAGTTGCATGTGCATGCTACTTTGGGAAAAGTGTTATTTCAGGGAATGGATGTCTTACTTTCATTTTTTGAAGAGTAGTTGTCCTGGATATAGAATTCTTGGTTAGCAGAATTATTCTTTCAGCACTTTGAATCTGTCATCTCACTGTTTTCTAGCTTCTATTGTTTCTAATAAGTAGTAAGCTGTTAAACTGACTATGGTTCCCCTGTACTTTGATGTTTGAGTCTCCTTTGATTGTGATGTCTTTTTATTTTTATTTTTATTTATTTATTTATTTATTTATTTATTTTTGCTTTAAAGACTCTTTGTGTAGCTTTCAATAATTTGACTATGATGTATCCAAGTATGGATTTTTTTTTAAGATTTTATTTATTTATTTGACAGACAGAGATCACAAGTAGGCAGAGAGGCAGGTAGAGAGAGAAAGAGGAGGAAGCAGGCTCCCCGCTGAGCAGAGAGCCCAATGCGATGCGGGGCTTGATCCCAGGATCCTAAACCATGACCTAAGCTAAAGGCAGAGGCTTTAACCCACTGAGCCATCCAGGCACCCCTGGTATGGATCTTTTTAATGTTTATCTTCCTTACAGTTCAATGAGCCTCTTGAATGTGAGGATTAATGTTTTTCATCAAATTTGAGATGATTTGGCCATTATTTTTCCCCAATATGTTTTTTAAGATTGGGGGGGTAGAGGGAGAGGAAGAAGCAAATGCTCCCCCTGAATGGGGAGTCTGATGCAGGGCTCAACCCTAGGATTCTGAGATCATGACCTGAGCTGAACGCAGATGCTTAACCAACAGAGCTACCCAGAAACCCATACTTCCTCAATATTTTTAATGCACTCCCCCTTCTTCTGGGACTTCTATCACTTGTACAATAGTATGTTTGATGGTGTCCCACAGGTCTTTGAGGCTTTGTTCATTTTTTAAAAATTCTTTTTCCTCCCTGGTCTTCAGATTAGACAATCTTTACTAATCTGGTGTCAAATTTGCTGGTTATTTTCTTCTGCCATTTCAAATCTACTATTGGGCCCTTTTGGTAAATTTTTCATTTCAATTATTGCACTTTGCAAGTCTGAATTTTCCACTTGGTTTTTCTCATTTCCATCTCTTTACTGATGTGCTCTATTTGATGATAATTGCCACTGTATTTTTCCTTTATTTTAAAATTTGGTTTCCTTTAGTTCTTTGAACATAGTTATAATTCTCCTTTCAAAGTCTTTTTCTGGTAAGTTCAACATCTGCTCCCCTCCCAATCCCTGAGAAAATTTCTACTGACAGCTTTTATCCTCTGTGTATAGGTTGTACTTTTGTTTCTCTGCATGCTCCTTTTATGTTAAAAACTGAGCATTTTAGGGGCACCTGGGTGGCTCAGTCAATTAAGTGCCTGACTCTTTTTGATTTCACCTCAAATCATGATCTCAGGGTTGTGAGACCAAGCACCATGTCAGGCTCCTCACTGGGCAGGGAGCCTGCCTGAGAGTCTCTCCCTTTGACCCTCCCCGCCTCTAAAAAAATGTGGACATTTTAGATAACATATTATAACAACTTTACTTTTTAAATTTTTTTAGATTTTATTTGTTTATTTGAGAGACAGAGAGAGAGAGCATGAGCAGGAGGTGGGGGCAGAGGGAGAAGCAGGCTCCCCGCTGACGAGGGAGCCCAATGCCGGGCTTGATCTCAGCACACTGAGGTCACCACCGGGGCCGAAGGCAGACAGACATTCCACTGACTGAGCAACCCAGGTGCCCATTATAGCAACTTTAGATTCTGATTTTCCCTATAACCTCCAGGGTTTCGTTTTGTCACTTTTTTGGTTTGTTTTTTAGTAACTTCCCTAGAATTCAGTGGAGTCTGTCTCCCCAACAACGTGCAGTCACTGATATCACTGCTCAGTTGTTCTTTTATTCTTTTTGTTTTTATTTTAAGGCCTGAATTCCTAGGGGTCACTTTTGGGTCATCATAGCTCAGTGGTCAATAATTGGCCAATGATTAGGGATCCTGACTGATTCAGTAAATCTTCTATTCTTTGCTAATGGGTCTGTGTATGGGTTAAGGAAGTATTGTTTTAGATGCCCCTAAGCATGTTTTTTTCCCTGCTTTATTCCACAACAAATCAGCTCCTTTAGGTAGTAGAGTTGTCAATCTGTTGAGCCCGCCTTGCTTTAGTAGGACACCCAGGCCACTGGCTGGGGGAGTTAGAGACAGAAGAAGCTCCAGGCTAAAAACATCACAGACTTCCCCCATTCTTACTTAAGTTTAGTAATTTTTCTTGAATAAATTCTTACCAAATTGTCGTATGCCTTTGGTCAATTTCCAAAGTCCTAAAATGGTTGGTTTTGGCAGGTTTGCTAAGCTTTATCATTGCTTTTTTTGGAGGGGAAAATGTGTGGAGTTTCTCATTTAGCCATTCTGGAAACCCCTTCAAAGGTTTGACTTTTGTCTGCTCTTTTTTGACTCTTCTGAAAGAATCAAGATTAAGTGTGGTTCAGAAAAGTGAGGAAAGACAGAAACCCAAGAAAGAAAATGGAAAGCACCAAGCATAATCAAAGCCAAAGGAAAGTTTTGTTATAGCTAAACCCAAACTTGTAACTGAAGGTAAATTGAGATTACAAATAAAGAATAAAGACTAAACTTTGGAAGCGAAAGTTTTAGGTGATTGTGGGGAAAGAGTTATTCTTTTAAAAATAATACTATTTATTTTGGAGGGAAAGCTTTTATTTTATTTTTTTTTTTTAAGATTTTATTTTTAAGTGATTTCTATACCCAATGTGGGGCTCAAACTCACAGCTCCAAGATCAGGTCACACTCTCTACAGACTGGACCAGTCAGGTGCCCCAGGGGAACCAAGGCTTTCTGACGAATCTTTATCTTATAGCTATCTATTATTTTGGCTAAATTCCTTAGGTTTTAGCAAAGATAGAGCACAACACAGAACAAGAAATGCAATCTTATTATTTTATATTTTATGTTTTTTTTTTTCCTTTAGCATCTAGAAGTACTCTATGGAAATCTTGGAAAGAAAGAGTTATAAAGCGACCTGCAACAGCTCATGCTTTAAGACCAGATCAGATGATCAGTGATGAATTTGCAACAAATACAAAGGTTTCAGAAATCCAAGATATGCTACAGGAACTCATAAACACTATGATGTTCAATAAATTGGAAAACAATGCTATTAAATATATAGCATCAACAATAATAAACCTTTCCAAGGCTTTGGGTATAATAAATGATGAACTAAAAATTTTTAACCTTCAGAGTGCCAATATGTGTATAAGTGAGACAAGTGAAAAAGAAAAAGAGCTCTCCCTGAAGATAATGCGAGAGCTCAGTGAAAAAAATGAAATGCTTCAGCAGAAACTTCAAGAAGCAGAAGAAAAATATGAACAATTTATTCGGTCCAAAATTGTTGTAGAACCCCAAGTAGGTACAGCATTACCCACATCAATCTTGAAAGTGTTGCCTGAGCTTTCTTCACAATCATCCACTAGCAAAACTGACAAAGAAGACAATATGGACGATATTTTGGTTAAAGAACTTGAAGATATTACAGATGAGGCCCAAACAAAAGGGACCAAAGGCTTGGGGATCAAGTGGGACTCAACTATTTCATATAGAGCCCCAGCTGAAATGACTCCAGATTTAACTGAAGAGCAATATCCTTCACTTAAAAAAAAGCAAAGAGGGTCTTCTGAAGGTATCACCGAAGATAAGATATCACAGAAGAAAGGTGATGTCTATAGGAAAGATGGGACTGACCAGTATCAATCACAGGGAAAAAAGCAAACTAAAGGCCCATATATGCATGAGACTTCTGGATTTAATGTGAGTGATGATAAAGGTAAAGAAAAAGACTCAGAGACCAAACTTGATTACCATTTGGAGCTACAGTCACTGGAAAAGAAGAGAAAAGAAATAAAATCCTTTTCTGAGGACAAATCAAAGTCATCCACTGAATCAAGAAAATCAAGAAGTGATCATGTCCCTGCTGATTACCCTTCTACTGACACAAAAAGCCAAATTGGCAGAAATGGAACAAGTAGTTTATGGGAACAATTCAGGAAGCTCAAACCTGAGTATTCACATTACAAAAGCCAGATTTCTTCAGAGAGTAAAGAGGAATCTACCACTGAGTCAATGGACAAAGAGAGCAAAAGTGAGACCAGCAGCCAAGCAGAGCAATTTGGGTTTACCCAACTTGGTTATTCCTCTGAGAAAGTGAAAACAAAAGGAAAGAAACACCATGTCTCTCCAGGAACCACCACAAGCAAAGAGGGAAAACTTGAAGAGGACATATTAGTCACCAAGAAAGTCAAGTCTCATAGACCTGTGAAGCCCAAATCTAGGGTAACAGAAGAGACTTCAGAATCTACCAGAGTTCTAGGAAGTCTAGATGGCAGAAGTGAAGAGAGTAACCTAGAAGAATTTCAAAAAGCCGTAATGGCTTTCCTAAAAGAGAAAATTGATAACGTAGGAAAGCCTTTAGATAAAAAGACTGTGCCAAAAGAGGAATTATTAAAAACACCAGAGGCTGAAAAATTAGGAATCATAAGGGAAAAAATAGAGGAATATTTCCAAAACGTAGGTGAAACTGTGACAAAAACCTTGAGGAAGTACAAAGATATAAAAAGTGCAGGACAGGCTGGAGAGAAATCTTTGAAACAAAAAAAAGAAGTCTCATTTATGCCAGGATTGCATTTTCAGAAGCCCACTAGTGCAAAGTCTGAAATTAGCACCTTACTGTCATCTAAGAGCAAGGATCCACTAACTGACAATTTAATACAAACGATCTTGGCTGAACTAGAAGGGAAAAGAGATGCTCTAGTGGCCTCAACGGTAGGGAGAGACGGCAAGGAAAGGCAAAAACAAAGGCGGCAGAAACATTTGCAAGAAGGTCCAGAAAAAATAGTTGGTAAGCGTCTCAAACACCAGTTGCAAGAAGGAAGTTTCTGGGAGAAACTGCAGGAGGAAGAGTCATGGCTCCAGAGGAAGGGAGGAAAGCAAGGACAACGGAAGCAGAAACAGTGGCAGAAAATGTGGAAGGAACAGCAAAAACAGAGGATGCAAAAGCAGACTGAGCAAGATGAGGAGCAAACGCAAAGAGAAGAGGAAGATTATCAGAAGCCAAAACAGCAGCAGCTGGAAGCATGGGATAAAAAAATGGAAAAACAAGTGGTGCCCCTGGAGAAGGAGAAGGGACAGCAGAAGAGGGATGCTCAGAAGGAAGTGAGATATCAGGAGCTGGAAATAAATTGGGAGAAAGAGGAGAAGCAGGAGCCATGGAGAAATGTAGAGGACCATGAAAGACAGAGGCAGAAAGAAACAAAGGATCAGATGAAGATTAAGGAGATAAACTCTGAAGAACAAGAAAAGATGTTCGGCCAAACTTCAATGACATTGTCTCCCCCATGGAAGAGCATACAGAAACTAGCACCCCAGTTACATCAAAGAAAAGAGTTCCAGAGTCATCTTAAGGCATTAGACATTCTTGCTGATGGGAAGCACCCTATACCAATCACTCCTTCTCCTTCCACACAATCGCCCTCACCCAAGGCCATTCCAGTTTCTGGACAGTCTCCCACAAAGTTCCTCACTCTAACTCCTAAACAGGCCCAGGCACTGGGGATCAGTCTCACCACTGAGGAGGCCAAGGCACTGGGCATCACTATCACCTCTCAGCAGGCCCAGGAACTGGGGATCACCCTCACAGATGAGCAGGCACAGACACAGGGGATAACTCTCACCCCTCAGCAGGCCCAAGAACTGGGGTTCACCCTAACTGATGAGCAGGCACAGGGGATCACTCTCACCCCTGAACAGGCCCAGGCACTGGGGAACACACTCATTCCCCAGCAGGCCCAGAAACTGGGATTCACCCTCACTGATGAGCAGGCACAGACAAAGGGGATGACTCTCACCCCTCAGGAGGCCCAGGCACTGGGGATCACACTCACCCCCGAACAGGCCCAAGCACAGGGGATCACTCTCACTCCCCAGCAGGC